TCGCGCACTTCGGGTGACTCTTCCTGGGTAAGCTGTGGATGTGAGTGGGGGCAGCATCTGCCATGACTCATACTCTCCTCTTTCCATTCCAAGCCGGGTGGGGGAGTTTAGGATTTCCAGACGAGGCCTGGCTCCCCCTGGCACAGAGGGTGGGAGTGGGGATGGGGAGGGATGAGGGAAGGGTCACGGGAAGGTGGGGCCATGTTTTGTGCTCAATGAACTGAGAAGGGGAAGGGTTCCAGCTGGAGTCAGCTGGGCCTCTGCCCCCCCCCCTTCACCAAACCCACTTAGGGGGCAGGGCTCACTGGAGTCTACAGTGACACGTGAGTCCAGGATGATCTCAGGCAGTGTATCTGAAACCCGGGACTCTCCATCTCCCTTCCTCTTCACCCTCACCATGGGAGAGCCACGCAACTGTCTTGATTTGCCCAGGACTGTGAGGGTTCCTGGGACTTGGTACTTTCAGTTCTAAAACGAGGACAGTGCAGGGACACCAGGAGGAGTGATTATCCTACTCAAGCATCTCCTGCCTCTCTGGGGTCTGAAAGCCACCAAAGTGGACCTTCTAAAAAATAGGTAGGGCCAGGTGCGGTGGCTCATGCTTGTAATCCCAGCACTTCGGGAGGCCGAGGTGGGTAGATCACTTGAGGCCAGGAGTTCGAGACGAGCCTGGGCAACATGGTGAAACCCCTTCTCTACCAAAAAATACAAAAATTAGCTGGGTGAGGTGGCATGCACCTGTAATCCCAGCTACTCTGCAGGCTGAGGCATGAGAATCGCTTGGACCCCGGAGGCAGAGATTGCAGTGGGCTGAGATTGCACCACTGCACTCCAGCCTGGGTAACAGAGCGAGACTCTGTCTAAAAAAAAACAAACACAAACAAACAAACAAAACACCTAAAATGTACGTGGGACCAAGTCACTTACCTGTCTGAAACTTCCAGGATGGACCCGGAGGTTACCTGGTCCTCAAGGCACTAACACCTCCCACCCGACTCACCTCCTCCACCCTCTCCCTTGCTTCCAACCCTCCAAGCACCCTGCCTAGGGCATCATGGCCCTGGCCCGGAGTAGAACTTGCCTCCTGCTGCAGTCTCTTTGGAATGCAACTGCTGCCCACAGTCCTCTATCTGAATCCTTCAAAAGCCTATTCTTCTAGGAAGCCTTCCCTGAACAGAGCAGACCCCGGCTATTGCTTTCCCAAGACCCAACCCCTTTCCTTGTTGAACTTGGCAACATCAAAACCCAGCTCATTTACGTAACTACTGGCCAAATCCCACCCACCGCCACCATGTACTGGCCTAGACTGCTGTGAGCCCCATGAGGGCAAGGTTGTCTGTCTCGTTTATCTCCCTGCCTTTGCTGGCGTGACCCCCCCCCCACCCCGCCCCACCACCACCACCCGGCTCTGAATGAATGAACCCACGAATCTCTAACTCTGCAGCAGGCCTGGCTCGGCCTCTTCCTCCCTGCTCTGGGTGTTCATCCTGCGCCCTGTGTCCCCTGCCCTGTCCAGGCGTGACCTGCGAGACGGAGGTAGACGAGTGCGCCTCGGCGCCCTGTGTGCACGGGGGCTCGTGCCTGGACGGCGTGGGCTCCTTCCGCTGTGTGTGCGCGCCGGGCTACGGGGGCACCCGTTGCCAGCTGGACCTTGACGAGTGCCAGAGCCAGCCATGTGCGCACGGGGGCACGTGCCACGACCTGGTCAATGGGTGAGCGAGCGGCGGGGCAGGGGGTTGGGGCGCCGGGTGCCCCAATGCGGGGAGGCCCGGGCGCGGGGCAGAAGGGGCGGGCACGCGCTCAGCTCCGCCCACGCACCCTCCCCAGGTTCCGGTGCGACTGTGCGGGCACCGGCTACGAGGGCACGCGCTGCGAGCAGGAGGTGCTGGAGTGCGCATCGGCGCCCTGTGCGCACAACGCTTCCTGCCTCGAGGGTCTCGGGAGCTTCCGCTGCCTCTGTTGGCCAGGTGTGTGCATGCAGGTGCGCGGCCTGGGGTAGCCGGATAGGTACTGTGTATGCGTGCGTGGCCTGGGGTGGAGGGGTAGGTGTGCGCGCGTGCGGCCTGGGGCGGCGGGGCAGATGTGTGACTGTGCGCGAGTGCCTACTGGGTCCTCGGGATCAGAGTGTGTGTGTGATTGCAACCTGTCGGAGCCTCAGTTTCCTGATCTACAAAATAGGGCTGATCGTAGCGCCTGCTCCTGGGGTTGCTGCGGGGAGAGTGAAGGTGCGACGCCTGGGAACCCTTGGGACGGGCCTGACAGCTGCAAAGGGCTTGGTAATTATCGCTAGTAATAGTAGTAAGACTAGGCCGGGCGCGGTGGCTCACGCCTGTAATCCCAGCACTTTGGGAGGCTGAGGTGGGCGGATCACGAAGTCAGGAGTTCGAGACCAGCCTGGCCAACATTGTGAAACTTCGTCTCTACTAAAAAAACACAAATTAGCTGAGCATGGTGGAGTGTTCCTGTAGTGCCAGCTACTCTGCAAGCTGAGGCAGGAGAATCGCTTGAACCTGAGAGGTGGAAGTGAGCTGAGATCATGCCACTGCACTCCAGCTGGGGCAACAGAGCAAGACTCTGTCTCAAAAAAAAAAAAAAAAGGAAAAATAGTAGTAAGACCAGTAACAGCAGCAATAGGCCGCTGCTGCTGAAGGCTGCCATGGTCATCCCTGCTGCCCTCAGTGCATCCCTCCCTCGCCATTCGTGGCTTATTCCGAGCCGCGGTCCCTTGCTGAAGAGGTGCTGCCCGGCAACCCTGTGAGACCTAATGTCTGCATGTGTATGTCCCCAGGCTACAGCGGCGAGCTGTGTGAGGTGGACGAGGACGAGTGTGCATCGAGCCCCTGCCAGCACGGGGGCCGATGCCTGCAGCGCTCTGACCCGGCCCTCTACGGGGGCGTCCAGGCCACCTTACCTGGTACCTTCAGCTTCCGCCACGCTGCGGGCTTCGTGTGCCACTGCCCTCCTGGCTTTGAGGGTGAGCCCCTGTTGGGGAAGTGGTCAGCCCGTGTCCAGATGCCCAGGGAGGGATCTTGTGCCCCACCCCCACCCCGCCCCACACCCGCGACTGCCCTCTCTTGGACTCAGTCTCCCTAGCTATAGAATAGACCCTCTCAGCCCCTGCCTGGCTCTGAGGGTGCAGGTGGGACCCACAGCTGGGCCTCTTGCAGGAGCCGACTGCGGTGTGGAGGTGGACGAGTGTGCCTCACGGCCATGCCTCAACGGAGGCCGCTGCCAGGACCTGCCCAATGGCTTCCAGTGTCACTGCCCAGATGGCTACGCAGGTGTCTGGGGTGGGGTGGGCCCTGGCACCATCCGAATTGGTGGTCCTCGGGTGAGAAGGTCCCTTCTGTCTGGATGTGTGGATTGATGGGGTTAAGGAGATCAGGGAGGAGGTGGGTATGAGGGCCCAGGTGACCGCTGAGGGTGGCTGAACTAGGACTCACTTTGGAGGTGAGACTGAGGCTCAGGTGTGTAGTGGGGCTGGGGCCGTAGTGGGCTGAGGTTGTCTGGGAGAACATGTGGAAGGACGGTCTTCAGGAAAGATGGAGGCGGTTCAGCCAGGACAGAGAAGGACATAGGGGCTATTGCAGAGATTTAGGGGGGCAGCATCTGTAGAAAGATGACTCTGACCTTTGGGGAGCTGGGGCCTGTCAGGCAGGAGTTGGGGGTTCAGAAAGTCTCCCCCTGCCTTGGGTGCATGCAGATGCACAGACATAGGACACCGGTGAGCCCAGGGAACTCCACCTCCAACACTGAATGTCCCTGCCCCCTCTGGAATGCCTGCGACACCTCCCTCACGCCCGCCCGCATTCCTGCTGGGGCACACTGCCTCCTCTCCCTGGCAGGTTCCTGGGCACAGCCTCCTCTACCAGGGGAAAGAGATGGTGATCATATCTCCCCCTCCCTCTGTCACCTGAAGATGGTGGGACCCAGGGTGGGACCCATCCCCAGCCCTGGATGGATGGTGGGACTCAGTGTCCCCCAGCGCTGGATGGCCAACACTCCTGGGGGCCCTGAAGGCCCATCCACTGCCTCCATGGGCCGAGGTTCCCCAAGTCCTGCTCCAAGAGCCATGGCCTCCTGGGTGCCTGGCACACAGTGGGCCCACACAGCACGTCTGGCCTCTGGGAAGCAATTGCTCTGCATCTTGTTTTTTCCTTGACACAGCCCCATGAGGCAGGGGTTTAAAACCCCATCTTACAGTTGAGAGGATGAGGGGTGTCATCCCCCAGGTTTACCAGTATCAGCGGGAACCCGGCTCCTCTCCCAGTTGAGCTTAGCTGTTGGGTGACAGGGAGGGCAGACCTCTGAGGTCAGAGCCAGAGAGGGGGGACCCCAGCTGCAGGGCTGGGCTCTTTGCCTGTCCTCCCTCCCTTTAGGCCGTGCTGGGCATGGGGGAGGCCAGTGCCTGGCATTCCTGAGCAGGCTCCAAAGGAGGCAGCTGGGCCGGGCAGGGAGCTCTGTCCCTCCCCACTTCCCCAGCCTCAGTGCCCGCCCACCACTCTCAACCTGTCTGGAGGGCATGGCAATGGAGCCGGGGGCTCTGTGGACCTTCCTGGGCCACCTGTGGCTCCTGACAGGTATGGAGGAATGTGGGCCCTGGGCAGGAGGAGGTTGGTGGGTGGCGGTTCCTAGGAGGAAGCTGTGGAATTTGTGAGCTGATCGGGGCTGGGCTTCAAACCCTGTGGCTTCTCTGGGCCTGGGTTCCTCCAGCTGGGATGTGGCTCTTTCGGAGCGACAGTGGACTATGGCTTCTTGACCCAAGCTGGGGCCTGAGCACCTGAAGGGATCCCTGGAGGGAGGATGAGGCAGCCCCTTCACAGCCAGTGTGAGGGCCCTGGGGCAGAGGGACTGAGGGGTTGGAGCCTGGGGGCCACTCAGAGTGCCTCAGGTGCGTGCACTACCCCACTAGCTCCTCCATTTCATCACTCTGTCCATAAAAGCCACGCCAGGCCCTTTGCTGGGCACCAAGGACATACTCAGGTCCCTGAAGATCTCCGCTGAGTAAACAAATACGTTTAATGCGGGGTTCTGCGGAGCTGTGCCTATGACTGGAGAGTGATACAGTAGTTTGAGGTTGGGAGTTAGGGAAAGCCTCTGGGCTCTTTGAGTTTGGGCTTTGCAGGATGAGTAGCAGTTTGAAAGGAAGGGTAAGGGAGAATGAGGCATTCCACAGGTAGAACAGTATGAGCAAAGCCCCAGAGTCGGGACCTTCCAGGAAATGCTTGGAGGAATGGGAGGTTCGAGGTTTGTGGGAAGCAGGATTGAGGCTTGAGAGCCTGGTAGGACCCATCCCATGAGGGTGTCTTAAATGTCAGGGTAGACCTGAAGCAGCAGAGGAACCTGGCCAGGTGATGCTTTAGAAATAGACCTCTGGCTGGCCGGGCGCGGTGGCTCAAGCCTGTATTCCCAGCACTTTGGGAGGCCGAGACGGGCGGATCACGAGGTCAGGAGATCGAGACCATCCTGGCTAATATGGAACCCGTCTCTACTAAAATAAAAACTAGCTGGCGAGTGGTGGGCGCCTGTAGTCCAGCTACTCGGGAGGCTGAGGCAGGAGATGGCGTAAACCCGGGAGGCGGAGCTTGCAGTGAGCTGAGATCCGGCACTGCATCGCTGGGCGACAAAGCGAGACTCCGTCTAAAAAAAAAAAAAAAAAAAAAAAAAAAAAGAAATAGACCTGGCTATTGGTGGAGATGGATGGGAAAGGGCTTCTGAAGGCTGGTGAACTGGAGCATGCAGGATGGTCGCCCAGAGAGCTGGTAAGGCAGGAGATGGAGGGTGGGAGAAAGGGGGCATTGGAGATTGTTTAGGAGATTAGATCTACAGGGCCTGGAGACTCACCAGATATGGGAAGGGAAGGGACATCTTGACTTCTGGCCTACAGGGGACTTGAGAGGACCATGAGAAATCCTTTGGGAATTGGTTTGGTTGATAGGTACTGAGGTCCCCATCACAAGAGGCATGTAAGTTCTGGGTCAATACTGTGGTTCTGGCCCCAGACATCACTGAGCCTTGGCTTGGTCTCTCCCAAAGGGCCGACATGTGAGGAAGATGTGGATGAATGCCTGTCAGATCCCTGCCTGCATGGCGGAAACTGCAGTGACACTGTGGCAGGCTATATCTGCAGGTGCCCAGAGACGTGGGGCGGGCGCGACTGTTCTGTGCAGCTCACTGGCTGCCAGGGCCACACCTGCCCACTGGCTGCCACCTGCATCCCTATCTTCGAGTCTGGGGTCCACAGTTATGTCTGCCACTGCCCACCTGGTACCCATGGACCTTTCTGTGGCCAGAATACCACCTTCTCTGTGATGGCTGGGAGACCCATTCAGGCATCAGTGCCAGCTGGTGGCCCCCTGGGTCTGGCACTGAGGTTTCGCACTACGCTGCCTGCTGGGACCTTGGCCACTCGCAATAACACCAGGGAAAGCTTGGAGCTGGCATTGGTGGCAGCCACACTTCAGGCCACACTCTGGAGCCACGGCACCACTGTGCTTGTCCTGAGACTGCCAGACCTGGGCCTAAATGATGGCCATTGGCACCAGGTGGAGGTGGTGCTCCACCTAGCGACCCTGGAGCTACAGCTCTGGCATGAGGGCTGCCCTGCCCGGCTCTGTGTGGCCTCTGGTCCTGTGGCCCTGGCTCCCACGGCTTCAGCAACTCCACTGCCTGCTGGGATCTCCTCCGCCCAGCTGGGGGACGCGACCTTTGCAGGCTGTCTCCAGGACGTGCGTGTGGATGGGCACCTCCTGCTGCCTGAGGATCTCGGCGAGAACGTCCTCCTGGGCTGCGAGCGCCGAGAGCAGTGCCAGCCTCTGCCTTGTGTCCATGGAGGGTCCTGCGTGGATCTGTGGACTCATTTCCGTTGCAACTGTCCTCGACCCCACAGGGGTCCCACGTGTGCTGATGGTGAGGAATAAGCCAGGTGGGAAGGCAGCACCTGAGATCTGGCTCCCTCAGCCTGCAGGCCTCACACCTGGCACCTTCTCTCCCTGCAGAGATTCCTGCTGCCACCTTTGGCTTGGGAGGCGCCCCAAGTTCTGTCTCCTTTCTGCTTCAAGAGCTGCCAGGCCCCAACCTCACACTGTCTTTCCTTCTCCGTACTCGGGAGCCCGCTGGCCTGTTGCTCCAGTTTGCCAATGACTCTGCAGCTGGTCTGACAGTATTCCTGAGCGAGGGTCGGATCCGGGCTGAGGCGCCGGGAGGTCCTGCTGTAGTGCTCCCTGGGCGCTGGGATGATGGGCTGCGTCACCTGGTGACGCTCAGCTTCGGGCCTGAGCAGCTGCAGGACCTGGGGCAGCACATGCACGTGGGTGGGAGGCTCCTTGCTGCTGACAGCCAGCCCTGGGGTGGGCCCTTCCGAGGCTGCCTCCAGGACCTGCGACTCGATGGCCGCCACCTCCCCTTCTTTCCTCTGCCACTGGATAACTCAAGCCAGCCGAGCGAGCTTGGCGGCAGGCAGTCCTGGAACCTCACCGCAGGCTGTGTCTCCGAAGACATGTGCAGTGTAAGTGTCCAGGGGTTGAGGGTGGGGATCCTTTTTCTAGGATCTGTCCTACATCACTGGGACTTCGTGTGTCCTTTTGCTGATGAGGAAACTCAGGCTGAGGAGGTGAAGTGACCTGCCCGGGGTCCCACTACAGGAAGGTGGCAGGGCAGATTTGCATTCACCGCCTCTTCAGCCCAGCTGCTCCTACCCTCTAGCAGTCCCCGTGCCTCCCCCAGCCAGTCCTGGTCTGCGAGAGACACACTGAGATAGAGGCTGCCCGAGCCTTTCTGCAGGAGCTACTTGGGGAACAGGACACCCTTTTGATCATGAACAGAATTCCACCAGCCCTGGAGTTGTAACAGCTTGGGCATGAACTCTGGTTCCTCTCTTTATTGGCTGGGTGACTCAGGCAAGTGGCTTTGCCTTACTGAGCCTCAGTTTTCTCCTCTGTAAAATGGGGGTGCTAGCGACTTCCTCTCCACTCGTTTGTGAGGAGATACTGGGTCTGTTAGTAGGTGCTCAGTGAAGAAGCACTGCAATGCTGGTTATGGTGGGTGATGCTAACTGCAGTCCTGAGCCAACCCCTGCCCTGCCTCTCCCACAGCCTGACCCCTGTTTCAATGGTGGGACTTGCCTCGTCACCTGGAATGACTTCCACTGTACCTGCCCTGCCAATTTCACAGGGCCTACGTGTGCCCAGCAGCTGTGGTGTCCCGGCCAGCCCTGTCTCCCACCTGCCACGTGTGAGGAGGTCCCTGATGGCTTTGTGTGTGAGTGTGTGTCCTGCGCAGCTCCCGTGCTGGGTGCTGGACACCCAAGCTGGCTAGATCCCATCTGCACTCTCAGGGCTTGTAGGATACTGGTGGACCAGGCATGCCAAGCCCCAGGGCAGTGTGGCAGGGCCACCGCATGTAGAGGGACAGAGTTTCTGGAGAAGGGGAGCCTGTACCCGGCTTCAAGGCCAGACTCTGAGAGCCACAGGGGAAAGGACATTTTATGGAAAGGCATAGCGTGTGCAAAGTCCCTGAGGTCTGCAAGGACAGTGGAAGTGCAAGGGGCCAGCAGGAACAGGGTGGGAAAGTTGGTAGGGGCTTTGAGGACACTCAGTCAGGCCGTTCTGACTCTATCCCAAGGACAGTGTGGAGCCTCTGGAGGGTTTTAAGCAGGAGAGGGGCATGACCAGATCTGCATTTTACAAAGATGACTGGCCGCAGTGAAAGGCAAGCCTTGGTGGTTAAGGTGGCACAGCTTCACAGGGAGGGAAGGGGCCAGATTCTGCCAGGAGTTGCTGTTGGCCGGCCTGTGACCTGGAGGGTCGCCTAGGCATCGCACACCTCCCCCCACACCCCCCCCCCCGCCCCCGCCCCCGCCCCCAGCACTGGCCCAGAACTGCTCCTCCGTGGGTAGGAAATACATTGTGGGTAGAAGTGAGGGTGGTCGCCGGCGGCTGCAGTTTCCAGGATTAGATGATAGGTGGGTGCGTGTGCCCCGCCCCCAGTAAGTGGCTTGTCTGCCACTCGCTGGGGGAAGTGGGGAGGTGGCATTTCTGGAGAAGGCTCCGTGGGCCATTCCCTGAGGCTCCTTCTCTCCGCAGGTGTGGCGGAGGCCACGTTCCGCGAGGGTCCCCCCGTCGCGTTCAGCGGGCACAACGCATCGTCTGGGCGCTCACTTGGCAGCCTGTCGCTGGCCTTCCGCACGCGCGACTCCGAGGCCTGGCTGCTGCGTGCCACGGCGGGCGCCCTGGCAGGCGTGTGGCTAGCGGTGCGCAATGGCTCACTGGCGGGGGGCGTGCGCGGAGGCCACGGCCTCTCTGGTGCCGTGCTGCCCATACCTGGGCCGCGCGTGGCCGATGGTGCCTGGCACCGAGTGCGCCTGGCCATGGAGCGCCCGGCGGCCGCTCCCTCGCGCTGGCTGCTGTGGTTGGACGGTGCGGCCACCCCGGTGGCGCTGCGCGGCCTGGCCGGTGACCTGGGCTTCCTGCAGGGCCCAGGTGCCGCGCACATCCTGCTGGCTGAGAACTTCACCGGCTGCCTGGGCCGCGTGGCGCTGGGCGGCCTGCCCCTGCCCTTGGCGCGGCCCCGACCCGGCGTGGCCCCTGGAGCCCAAGAGCACTTCGCTGCCTGGCCTGGGACGCCGGCCCCCATCCTCGGCTGCCGCGGCGCGCCCGTGTGTGCGCCCTCGCCCTGTCTGCACGGCGGTGACTGTCGCGACCTCTTCGACGCCTTCGCCTGCGCCTGCGGCCCGGGCTGGGAGGGCCCGCGCTGCGAGGCCCACGTCAACCCCTGTGACTCCGCGCCCTGCGCCCGTGGCCGCTGTCACACGCACCCCGACGGCCGCTTCGAGTGTCACTGCCCGCCTGGCTTCGGGGGCCCGCGCTGCAGGTGGGACGGCTGGGCAGGGGCGCGGGCCCGGAAGGGGGTGGTGACCAGGGCAGGGGTGGGCTGCAAATGCCCCCTGGGACTGTGGTGGGGCAGAGAAGTCTGCCAGGTCTGTGGATGAGTCGCTTCCCTTCCCTGATCCTCGTGTCCTTATCTGTGACATGAGCAGGACAGTTTAATTTGATAAATTTCCTAATAAAACACAGATCAAAACACACCCAGTTAGCTTGGAATTTCAGATAAACAGCGCTGCTGTCTGGGGCTGGGAGCGCCTGCCGCTTACACCGAGGTTCATCCCTGTTGGTCACTGGTCGGGGTGGAGGGAGGGGATCAGGCTTTGGGCTTCCCTTATTCATCTCCCGGTGGCTCTCCCTGGAGCCTAGGGTGTGGAAGGGGGATCTGGCTGTGGCCTGATCCCTCCCTCTCCCCTCAAGGAATGTCCAGGCGTTGCGTTTAGGAGCTGCTTTTGTTCAGAATCCTTACTTTTTGTTGTCCTCAGAGTCCTCTGAGGTTCTGGAAAGTAAGTGACCCTTCCTTCCCACCAGGGACCACAATCCCGTGACCGATAGAGGGCCCTGGATTCCATACATGAGAACACAGGCTCAGGTGGCCCACGGTCACAGCACTGGGGAGGGCAGGTCCCAGGCATCCTGCACCCATTCCAGCCTCTGCTCTCTCCCCAGGTTGCCTGTCCCATCCAAGGAATGTATCCTGAATGTCACCTGCCTCGACGGCAGCCCGTGTGAGGGTGGCTCTCCTGCTGCCAACTGCAGCTGCCTGGAGGGTCTTGCTGGCCAGAGGTGGGTCTGGGGGCCTGGGAACTGTGAGGGGGTCCAATGAGTGTGAAGGGCTATTCCTCCAGCCAGGGTGGGGTGGGGGTCCTTGCCCACCTTCTCACCCCTCCCTGGTATCACAGTCACCATTGTCACTTGAGTTTCCTTCCATGTCTTGCAAGACCATCCTCTGTGATACAGACCTGGTAGCAGTTATGGGAACAGCCCCAGCCCGCTTGTGGGAGACCGTAAAATTGCAGATTCTGGGCCCTGCAGACAGTGGCGTCAGCTCCCGGGGCACCTGCCTTCACACAGGCTCCCCAGTCCCCCTAATGGGAGGAGAGTCCTTCTCAGTCATAGCTGCTCGGGTGGTCACCGGGCAGGGCCCAGCTGGGCAGGAGCAGCGCATGGGGGCAGTGAACGGATAAGCTCTGATGCTTGCTGAAGGAGGCGGGGTGGGCAGCAGAGCAGCTGGGAGCACAAGAGGCAGCCATGGGGGAGCCGTTTTCTCAGCCCCCCTCCTTCTCCAGGTGTCAGGTCCCCGCCCTCCCCTGTGAAACCAACCCCTGCTTGAATGGGGGCACCTGCCGGGCAGCTGGAGGGGTATCTGAATGTATCTGCAATGCCAGATTCTCCGGCCAGTTCTGTGAAGTGGTGGTGAGTGTTGCCGGGGTGAGGGGCTGTGGACGTGGCCTGCTGGGCCCTTGGTGAGCTGATGCTGCTGGGGAGAGCAGAGCACCGTGGGGCTGTTCCTGGGCCACTCTGTCATGGGGTGGGGCAGTGAGAGGAGCCTCAGGTCCTTTCCACACCCCCCACACAGGAGGTATTTCCACGCCAGGGAGAGCTTTGGGGGCTGCCACCATCTATTGACAAGAGCACAAAGCTCCTGGCTGGGTCAGGGGCTTCCCCAGAGCGCCCAGGGCAGTGGCAGTGAGGACAGATGGTCTCTGCCAATCCAACCAGGACTCAGGGCCAAGAGGATGTTGGTGTTCTGGGATTTAGGCTGGTGAATCCAGGAGACTGAGTTGGAAGACCCGGGGCAAGGTGGGGGTGGCCTGGGAGTCTGCACTGGGGCAGGCTCGGCCACTGTGCAGGGTGGCCCCAACCCCAGGGGGCTCAGCCCGGGAGGAGCCTGGACAGACGAAGTGGAAGGCGAAGGCGGCAGGGGCTGGAGCTGTGACCCTCCCTGACACACCCCTTCCTCGGGGCGGGGGTGGTGGGGGGAAGGTGGGTGCTGGCGAGGAGAGGCTTGGAAAAGGGTAGTCTGGGGAGCAGCCTTGATCTCCACAGGCCTCTGGTGGCCTGGGCCATAAACCACAAATCCCCTCCGCTTATGGGGAATGTTTCCTTTCAAGTTGAACTTTTACAGCCTCTGGCTTCCCCACCCAGCCACCTCCCAGGGCAGGGGAAGGAAATGGCTTTACAGCTCCTCCCCTAAAATGTTCAGGGGTGGAGGCTGGCAGGGCCCTCTCAGGACAGAGGGGACTTTCCTCTCTAGTTTTAAGACCCAGGTCACAGCGGGCTGAGAAGCCTGGAGGTACAGAGGGGGGCTGGTGAGTCCCAGAGCCCGTGCCTCTGGAATCCTCGCATCCTGGGACTTCAGAGTCCCAGGCATGTAGAGGCTTTGATGGGGCATCCTGGGAGCCTGTGACTGGAGACAGCAAGGAGGTTTGCTGGGCCCCCTGAAGCCTGGGCCAGGGCTTGCAGGGACAAGCTGTCAGAACATTCCCCTGCTCCCTGTGCCACCCCACCCCGGCAGGCAGGCCCCAGTGGATTCTGACTTGGCTGTTGCGGCAGGGGGCCGCTCAGTCTGCCCCAGCTCCCGCTCTGCCTCATCTCACCCTTGTAGGCTTTTGTGAAACCCACGCACCCTGCTTAGCTCCTGCCGGGTGTCCGTCTCTGTCCTTCTAGCCAGAACTCCTTTGTTGTACAGGACTCCCCGAGCCAGTGGCTCTGACAGGTGGTTTCCTGGCACTTGCCTGTACACCCCTGGGGCTGGGTCTTCACCGCTCCCGGGGCAGCCTGCTCCCAGCTCTGATTTTTCTCTGAGCAGGTCCTTGTGCTGCTGAGGGCCCAGGGTCCTCCCCTTCTCTGTGGTCTTAGGCCTCGGTGTTGTGTCTCTTGCAGAAGGGCGTGCCCCTGCCGCTGCCATTCCCGCTGCTGGAGGTGGCCGTGCCCGCAGCCTGTGCCTGCCTCCTCCTCCTCCTCCTGGGCCTTCTTTCAGGGATCCTGGCAGCCCGAAAGCGCCGCCAGTCCGAGGGCACCTACAGCCCAAGCCAGCAGGAGGTGGCTGGGGCCCGGCTGGAGATGGACAGTGTCCTCAAGGTGCCACCGGAGGAGAGACTCATTTAGGCCAGCCTGGCTGCCGGCACCAGCACCTGGAGGTCCTGAATGGTTTCTACCTGGAGACCCAAGGAAGCTGCTGCCACGGCTCGGGACATTGCTATGGAAGTGTCCCCTTGGCTGGCAGCCTCTGCCTCTGCCCCATCGTGGATGGAGGATTGAGGGGAGCAACTCAGGGAAACAGAGGCCTAGAGAGGCTGTGGACTTCATCCCACCCTCGGGGTTGTGCCTCGGCAGGTGTACGGCTGTGCGTGGGAGGGCACATGTGGGTGCACACAGTGTGCGTATCTGGAGCAGTGTGTGTCTGAGTGTGTACCTGGGCCCGTGTTAGTCTACAGATGCTAGTGTGAGTGTGTCCTGACAGGGCTGCAGGGCGTGTCTGCTGCGTTTGCTGTGTGTCTATGACTGTGATGGGTGTGGCTGATCTCAGGAGGCGGTGGCTGCTCCATGGGGTCGACCATTACAGTCCTGGGGCAGGGGCGGCCTAAGGCTGCATGTTCTCCAGGAGGCCAGGCCCGGGTTGCCCAGGCACCAAGGCCAGGGCTCCTGCCTCCTTCCCTGCCTCTGGGGGCTGCTCCTGCCGCGGAGGCAGCTGGGAAGTCGGGAGGCCACTGGCAGAGGCCGAGTAGGCTTCTGGCTCCTAGAACAAACATCCCTTCAGGCAGGTCTGTCTGCCAGAAGCCAGAGCCAGTCATGCGAGGGAACCACAGACCCACCCGCCCCCTCAGCCGGAGCAGCCCAAGGGAGCAGAGGAGGGGCTGCCTTGAGCTTCCCACCCTGCTGTGGTCATTTGTCAAAGGGGGAAGGCACCGCCCGCCTACCTCACAGGGCTGTTGTAAGGATCGGAGAGGATGACAGTGGGGAGAGAATCTGGACGTCGTCAACTCCCGTCTGATGGGATAAGGATCGTCTGCATGTCCTTCTGGGATAAGGATGACAGAGCAACCCTTCTCCTGCCCCAAACGCCCCCAGCTCACCCAACCACCTCTGGGTCTCCAGCTCCAGTCCTCCCTGGCAGCCTGGCGAGCGAGCTCCTTCCCCTGATGACTGGTTGCCGCTACACAGATTCGGCGAGAGGACTCGAAGGAAGCCCTCTGGGGTGTCTGCTGAGTGGAGGAGCTCAGTGAACACTGGCGCTGCCTCTGTGTCAGGGCTGGGCCTGCAGAGGCAGACTCGGGGGAGACTCTGCTGCTTGCTCCCAGCCCCTTCCCCGGCAATGCCCATCACACTGTGACCTCCAATCCCTGAAGGGCACTTGCCTAAGGGCCTGGCCTCCTTCCAGCTTCATGGACCTGGAGATGTGCCCTTTCGTCCTTCCTGCTTCTCAGGCCAGGAGATCCGTTTACACTTTTGGGTCGACAGTCAGCTTTTCCTTTCGGTTTCGGCGAGTCCCAGAGGCATGGGTGTCCAATCCAAGGTGGAACCACATGACAACTTGGGGGACTGGGACATGGGACTGGGAAGTCAGCAGAGGCTGGGATAGAGAGGGCCCTGAACGCCAGGCTCAGGGGCTTGCCTGGTCCTTATCCTGGAGGAGGTGGAACCACTTTTCCCTGAACTTTCTCTACAACCCTTGGGAACAGGGGGAGGAGGCATCTGGTTCCCTTGCCTTAGCCGGTTCCAGGGTCAGTTTACTGAGTTAGGGATTTGGAAAACCTGTGTCAGCTGTGACTCCTAGGATATTTTATGTGGAACCCCAACATGTAGATGAAAGCTGGCTGTGCCCTCTCTTCCTGGCTCCTATTGCTTCAGGTGGCTGGTTTTTTGTTTGTTATTTTTTTGAGATGGAGTCTCACTGTCACCCAGGCTGGAGTGCAGTGGCGCGATCTCGGCTCACTGCAACCTTCGCCTCCTGGGTTCAAGCAATTTCCTGCCTCAGCCTCAGCCTCTGGAGTAGCTGGGATTACAGGTGCCCGCTTTTAGTAGAGAAGGGGTTTCACCATCTTGACCACGCTGGTCTTGAACTCCCGACCTCGTGATCTACCTGCCCCAGCCTCCCAAAGTGTTGGGATTACAGGTATGAGCCACTGTGCCTGGCCTGGGTGCCTGTCGTTCAGGCCTGTCAGTCCTGCAGGGGAGAGCATGGTCAGATGCTGGGCGAGTTGGAGGGGGTGGGTGGTGTGACTGGACATGTTTCACACTGTGGGTGGTCGATTGGTCTGCATTTCCAACCCCTCCAAATACCAGCGTCCAACAGAGGCAGATGCCCAGGCTCTGTTCTTGCTAATGAGGGACCTGTGGGGGCGACTTGCCAGGTGTCCCCTTGAACTCTTTCCTGGCTCCTGGATGCCCTCAACATCGTTGGTGGCCTGCAGTCTGCCCCATGGCCCCAGCAGGGCTGAGCAGGCCTGTTGCCAGCCCAACCCCGTGCCTGGTCTATGAGGGACAGAGCATGAGCTGGCTTAGAGCCCTGAGTGGCCACCGGCTTGGGTGGGTGCGGGGAATTGACTTCCTTCCCTAACTGCTCCACGCCTGGTCCCCGCCTCTACAGGAGCTGGTGGTGAGGATGGCTTCAGGCCCACGTGGGGCCTCCCCCACCCCAAAAGCTTCAAGGACACGGGGATGCCAGCCTCTTCCCCAAGATGATTTTATTGAATGCACACAAAGTTCATCCTTGGGTTTGCAAAGTCAGTCCCACAAGAGAAGAGGCAGCAGTGCTCATGTGAACATGGAGCGCTCACCCCAGTCCCCCAGCACGGCCAGGGCGCCTTGGGGTACACACCCTCCTTCCCTGGGGCTGCCAGCGCCGCCTCTGCCCTATCCCGGATGGGGCCTGGGGATCTGCCCAGGGAGTGAAACTGGAATCTCTGTGAAACACCTAAGTGCCCGGGAGGTGCCTCCATGGCCCAGGAGTGACACGGCTCCCCAAGCAGCCAGAGCCCATTCCTGAGCCAGACAGGTCACAGTTGGCCCAGGAAAAGCCATGTGCCAGGACGGCCACCAAGCCTCCCTGACCATGTGCAGCAGTGGTGGCCTCTTAGACACAGAGGGGGCTCCCTGGGTGACAGATCTCCAGAGACCCCCCCCTCCTTGTCCCCCTCAGACACCCCTGGGTAGACTGTGTGTCTGACCCATCCCGAATAGGAAATGAGAGCTCGGGTCGAAATGCTCACAATTTCCTGCGTGTCTCAGATGGCTGTTTTCTTAAATGGTCGGGGCATACTTTAACTTGGTTTATGGAAATGAATCAATTTCAAGACTCATCAAATCAATAAGGTAAAAAGGAAAAAGATAAACAATAAAACATTCACTCTAACTTTGGTGACGGTGGCCTCAGGAATTTCTGTGCTGGCCTGGCGCTCTGGGCAGGTGGGGAGGGACTGGCTTCTAGCCCTTCTCCTGCTTCTCTGAGGCAGAGACCAAGTTTGTCCTTTCTACCCGGCTCTGGAGCAGGGGCTCAGGGCCACTGCCTCGTTCCAACCCAGGAAGGCCAGCTGCCTCCGCATCAGTCTGAGGCATTCCGCTTGACCTTCGAGTTGAAGTCTGGGTCGCAGCTTCTCGGCTTTGCCCACAAAGCTCCAGATGCCAAGAGGCTGAGACCCAGCTTTGACAGTGAGAAGAGAACCTGGAGGTATCAGAGTGCCAGAGAGTTGGAATGAGGGGGTGGGGGCTCCCCCCAAAACACTCAGATGGGGTTTCTATTTTCCTTCTAGAAATCAATGTTGCTGGTGCTCGCAGTCCCCGTGCAGGGTGGCTGGGGCTGGGCATCACAAGGCAGTCCAGACCCCCTGGTCCCCAGACCCTCCCAGGTCAGAATCAACTGAAGTTTTGGGGTGAAGACACAGGAAAGAACGTGTGTGTATATTGCTAGAAACAGTCTGGAAGTGCCCCACCAGGTAAATCCTCCAGCCCAGGAGGAGTCCTAACTTCAACCCCAAGCCGCCTGTGTCTCGTGCAGAGGAGCTCACACTGGAGGGTAACCCTGCCACTTGTGTCCGAGGAGGTGGGCGTGCAGGGCCTAGCTGTGGTGGAACAGGAGAGCTGGGCTCAGAGGATAGGCCTTCGGAGCCTCTCGGGACACTTTCAGGGGGAAGGTGGGTAGGACTTGGTCTGGGGCAATCAATCATTGGCCCAGCTGACCTCTTTAGTGCAAAACCCAATCAAGGGTGCCAAGGACGGGCAACCGCGGGGTGGGACGGGCACTCAGGAACTGGGTTGATTCCCAGACTGGAACTGGTGCCATTCTGCAGGGCCAGACCTCAGAGATGGGCAGTGTGGAGGGGAGGAGGGGGCAGCAGAGAGGGGTCCCATCCCTTCCCACCAGCAGAACCTGGGCAGAGAGCGTGGCGGGGGACCCTCGGAACCGCAGCAGTGGACGGACCCTCGGGCCTCGGTGCATCCCCTGCCCTCAAGGCCTGGCTCACTCGAAGGTCTCCCACTGCTTCCTGAGCTGCTCCACCGAGTCTGGGGCCGGGGCCGGGGCCGGGGCCGGGGCCAGGACCGGACTTGGGCTCACGTCTTGCTTGGTTTTCTGTAACAAATCCTCAAAGGGGTCTCTGGCCTGTTGAGGAGCAGAGGGCTGCAGTGTTGGCTCCAGGCCCTGGGGGGGCCTGGGAGGCAGAAGTGGGGGGTCTCCAGGCCTCAGGGCCAGCCCCTGCTTGGCCTCAGCAGCCCTGGCACTTGAGCGGGCCAGGGGCAATGTTCGGATCCTCGATGGGGCAACTGCTGGGGGACCCAGCGGCTGTAGGGGGCTCGTGTGGGTGCCCATGGGCATCTGGCCAAAGAGGTTGGGCATGGAGAGGGCAGAGAGGTTGGGCTGAGACCTGTGAGGGGCACAGAAGCCAGCGCTGGACAGCAGGAGGCCGGATGCAAAAGCCGGCCCCAGGGAAGCTGGAGGGACCCCAAAAGGCCCCGCTGGTGTGGAGACCAGGGACAGGGTTGGTGGGGCTGCTGGCATGGATGGGACAAAGGGGTTGAGTGGTGGCTGTGGGAATGGGGCAGGTGTCCCTGCAGGGGGGAAGCTGAATTGGGGGGTGAATGGGGTGGCTACATTCGGGGCGGCATGGCGTGGCGGGAGGGTGCTGCCTGACCAGGCTGTGCTGAGCGGGTCCAGGAGGGCGAGCAGGGCATCACTGCTCGTGCCTGCAGTCCCGGGGCTGGGGCTGAGTGGCTGGAGCAGTTCAGTGGGGCCTTGGGGGACACCACCAGGGAGGAGCCCTGGACTCAGGGCAGCTCGCCTGTCCCGATCCACCTGCAGCCGCTCTGAGAAGTCACCAAGTGCGGTGCCGGCAGCCTGGAGCTTGGCTGGGCGGGGAATGGGTGGTGGAGGCACGATGCCCAGCTCTGGGGTCTTCCTGCCTTGGGGCCGGGGGATGGTGATGCTGCCCAGAGTAGGGGTGGGCACCTCCTCCTTGTCACTGGGGTTCAGGATGCTGTCCCGGTTCTGGGGCCTTCGAGGCAGGGCCAGGGAGTTCCCGAGCAAGGCAGAGGGCTTGTCAGGGGAGGCAGCTGGGGGCTTGCTGGGGATGGCCATGTCGTCCTGGCCCAGGCTCCAGAGCTTGTTGTATGGGTGGGTAAGCTTCAAGGCCACTGTCACCCCGCGGCTCCTCTCACTCCCGCCCAGGTCCAGCCTCTGTTGGGAGGGAAGGAGGGCGGCAGTGACCACAGGCTGAGTTGGGACATATGTGTGCCCATTCCCACACCACTCCTGTGTGCTGAATGCATGTTGGGCCTAGGTGTGTGGCTGATTAGCTCCTCGGACTTGGAACAGCTGGGGACTCCCCCAGGTTACCAGCAGAGGACCCAGGTGTGCTGGGACTCCAAGCCTGTGCTCCGGGAACTCAAGAGAAAGCTCTCGTCCCTTTACACCAGTGGTGGTTGCCAAGGAGTTTTAGGAAAGTGACTCCAGCTACTGGCTGGCCCTTTTCACTTTTTAGATTGCAGGCACTTGCAATCACCTGTAAGCCTGGGAGGGTGAGTGAGACTCAGGGCCTGGTAGAAGGCACCTTGGCTGGGGAGAAAGGAGGAGGCCAAGTTGGAGTCCTGGCTCTGCCACTTGTAAGCCACATGGCCCGGGCACCAGTCCCCTTCTCCTGGCCCAGGTCCTTGTTCCCAGCAGGGAACACTCATGAATGACTGGAGCTCTGTGAACCCCACAGTGTGACCCAGTGATGCAAAGTCAGAAGCCCCCACTTGCAAGTAAGGAAACTGAGGCACCGAGAAGGGATGTGATGGATTGGACATCACAATGGGAATTACACACTGATTTGCATTCATAATGCAGAGCCAAGAACTTTCATCCAAAGGCTCTGCCAAGGAGCCCTGGCAGGGATGGATGCAATCCCAGTTCCAGCAGGGGCTGCAGCCCCTCTGGGGGTGCAAGGAGAGTGGCTGGCAGCACCCGCCCCCTCGTCTGATGCACACACAGGGTGGGGCAAGTTTCCATCAGGCTCTAGCATCTTCTCCTACCATCACTGTTAGGGTGGTGTGGGCCCCGGCACCCTGGGAGGGGCTTACAGTCACACTGACCCTAAGTGTTGGCTGAGGGCCTTGGAAAGTCACTGTTTCTCTGTTAGTCTCTTCCACTGTCACATGGGGGTCTCCGGACAGTGTGGGCCCGGCAGATCCCCTCCCTTGCCTATGCCATACCTGATAGTCAAAGGTCCCTGGCTGCTCCCTCAGGTCTTTGGGGGCACGAAGGTCCTCCAAGCTCTTGGCCTGGCCCAGGGGCTGCAATGCGGCCTCCATGTCCAGGTTGTTGAAGACGTCTTCCAGAAGGTCGATGCTGGCAGCCCGGTCAGTGGGAGCTGGGACGGGGCCTGTGGGTTTCCGCACTTGCTGCTCTGGACTCTCTGCCTCGTCGCCTTCCGCACTGTCTGACTCCTTGAGTGTCCGATATGGCTGTGGCCTGCGGGGAGACAGAGCAGGCTGGAATCTCCCACCCAGGCCTTCAGGGGAGGAGCAAGCGGCCTCCAGCCCAAGCACATTGAGGGCTTGAGGGGTACACGCAGGAGCCTTCGGGACAGGAGCGTGTCCCAGGGTCTCCGTGAGGGCAGGAGTCTGGGAGGCTGCGAGGGTGCAAGCTGGGCACACCGATGGGCCTGGGGGTGTGAACAGGGGCAAGTCGCTTTGGCTCTCACTTGCACTGAGGGGACCCATTTAGTGCCCCTCCCAAACTACAGGTCCTTTCATAAAACTAGCTAGTGGGCTTGTGAGCCATTCAGACAAGGTATGAGGAACAGACAGGACTGGAAGGGGGCTCACAGGCCAGCAGTCATGCTCCTCTTACTCCCGCCCTGCTCTGCTGTTTGGTAGCCTAGGCACAGCCACAGTCAGGTTCTGTGAACAGCTCATGGGGAACTGTCTGGGCCTAAGCTTGCCCTGCTAAGCTTGGTTCCAGCTCTGGTCATGCTATTTCTTGCTGTGGGACCTTTGGCAGGTCACTTAATTCTCTGAGCCTCAGGCGCTCAGGTGGTGGTGGTGGTGGTTACATGAGCAAATGCGGTGCCCGGCACACAGCAGACATGCAGAGGTTGGTTACAGCATCCAGCGCCCACCAGTGAGCATGGCTGTCACACAGGCTCTTCTGCTAACAGCTTTCTATACTTTTACACATCAAAACCTTGCAGCCATTGGCTGGGCGCGGTGGCTCACGCCTGTAATCCCAGCACTTTGGGAGGCCGAGGTGAGCGGATCACTTGAGGTCAGGAGTTCTAGACCAGCCTGGCCAACATGGTGAAACCCCGTCCCTACTAAAATTACAAAATTTTGCGGGGTGTGGTGGGGCATGCCTGTAGTCTCAGCTACTTAGGTGGCTGAGGCATGGGAATTGCTTGAACCTGGGAGATGGAGGTTGCAGTGAGCCAAGATCACAACACTGCACTCCAGCCTGGGTGACAGAGCAAGACCCTGTCTCAAAACAAGCAAAACAAAACAAAACAAAACAAACCACAAACAAACCCCACACCACTACTTTGCAGCTGATACAAGTATAGGTAACAAAGGGTTCCACTTGCCTTCCCTTCCCATGGACCTGAGTCCCAGGGCACCACTGGGTAGATGGAGAGGCAGTGCCTGGGTCAACCCTGACCTCTAGTGGAGCCCCAGTGGGAACTGCATCTCACCTTTTTTATTTTTTTTATTTTTTATTTTATTTTTGAGATGGAGTTTCACTCTTGTCTCCCAGGCTGGAGTGCAATGGCGCGATCTTGGCTCACTGCAACCTCCGCCTCCCAGGTTCAAGCAATTCTCCTGGCTTAGCCTCCCGAGTAGCTGGAATTACAGGCGCCCGCCACCACGCCCGGCTAATTTTTTGTATTTTTAGTAGAGATGGGGTTTCACTATGTTGGCCAGACTGGTCTCGAACTCCTGACCTTGTGATCCGCCTGCCTCAGCCTCCCAGTGTTGAGATTGCAGGTGTGAGCCACCGCGCCTGGCCACAGCTCGCCTCTTCTAACCCCAAGTCTGGGGCTGGTGGTGGCCCTAGTTCAGGCAGAGATCGTGCCTGTGGCACTGGTAAAGTGGGGGAAGGGCACCACCTGGCGGTCAAGGGTAGGCTCACAGTGAAGACTGCAGGGTGGGGGACATATGGGAGGGCTCATCAAACAATATCAGCGAGGGACAGGGACTCCATCATGTACTCTCTCGCTGAAGCAATGCTAGTGGGCCAGGAAGTCGGACTTACACCCCCACTTTATGGATGAGGAATGAAGCTCAGAGATGTTAATAACTCACCTATGTCACACAGCACTCCCAAGGGGTGGAAATGGAAGCCAAGCTTGAGAGGCTTCAAACGTCCCTCACTCACCCTGACCAAGGAATTAGAGACCCTTTAATCAAGATGAGCACAATGAAAGGGTTAAAGTCAGTGTGCTTCTGGAACTTAAGGAACCCATTTTGAACCCATTTTGAGTTAGGATGGGCCAGTTTCTTTTCAAACACACACACAAAGGCCTGTACTGACCTCTGAGGTCATGGGCTAAGGAAGCGAGCCCTTGCCATTATTTAAATAATTAAGGCATCAGTTAGTTCCGAGAGGATATGATGGAGCTGGCTCTTGGACTTGACTTGGTGCGCTCCTGGCTGGCAGCAGGGTGCCTTTTCCCAAAAGGTGTTTTAAGTTGACACATAGATGAACATGTCTTATGCTAAAGGTTCTATTTTTGTTCTAATTAGCAACAGAAATAATGACTAATACATTAAGCCTACAAAATCGTAGATATTATTGCTTAGGAGAAGGCTAATTTTAAAATCTTTGGAAAAAAATTGAAACAAAGATTTGATATACAGCAAAAGTGATGTGTGATGCTTGGATGACACCAGCTTAGGCCACTACTTTTTTTTTTTTTTTTTTAAGGCAGAGTCTCATTCTGTTACCCAGGTTGGAGTACAGCAGTGTGATCTCAGCTCACTGCAACCTCCGCCTCCTGGGTTCAAGTGATTCTCTTGCCTCAGTCTCCTGAATAGCTGGGATTACAGGTGCGTGCCACCACACCTAGCTAATATTTGTATTTTTTTTAAGTAGAGACGGGGTTTCCCCATGTTGGCCAGGCTGGTCGCGAACTCCTGGCCTCAAGTGATCCACCTGCCTGGGCCTCCCGAAGTGCTGGGATTACAGGTGTGAGCCACTGTGCTTGGCAAGGCCACTACTTTCTAAGTGAGGACACTGGGAGGGGAGTGACTTGTCTGGGTCCCCAGTGACCTGGTGGCAGGAAAGGGTCAGGACCCTCTGACCCTGTGGGGTTGGTGACAGGGGGCCGAGCAGCCTGGGGTTTATAAGGTCCTTAGAGCAACCCACGGGCCACCCCATGGGGAGGGAGCTGATGCTGGGGTTTGGGAAGAGGGAGAGGGTGCAGGGGACATGAGGGAGAGGGAGGGAAAGGCATCTCCTCTTCTGTGCAATGACTAAAACGATTAACATGCTCCCTGGAAGGTTGCTGTGGTCACCGTGGGCATCCAGCAAAGGGTACTTTCCATTCCCTGAAAGGCTCCCATTAAAAACACAGAACCGTGTTAACAAGGGCAAACAGCCTTTGTCTGTCTCTGCTCGATCCCAGCTCTGAAACATTTGTGGGTAGAGGAGCAAGAATGGGTTAAAAAAAGGAGGGCGACAGCAGCTTAATTTTAGGGGTGGCTGGATGGTGGGTGAAACTTTTTAAAATCACTACTTGTAATTGGTATGAGGCTTAGGCTATAAATAATAATGATTAAAATTATCTTTAAAAAGTCAGGCAGATTAGAACACTTGGATAGGCTGGCATTCAATACAAACATTTCTTTTTCAACTTAAACTCTGACTCCCATCTCCATGGCTTTCCAAGACACGCTGAGATAAAGAAGGACTTGGAGATCAACAACCAGGCTAATTGTAGTCACCAGTTCCATCAGCAATCAAACACATTTTCATCTCTAAGGGACCAACACTCGCATATCACCCTGTCACCTTACTCAATTGTCACAGCCCCTGTGGAGCTAGCAGAACGGATGCCCTGAGAGGTGGCACACGGAGGTGGCATCCATCCGGCATGTTGGCACTGGGGCACCGGCAGGCAGCAGCTCCAGACACCCTCCCCCCTCCGACACAAAGGCAAGCATCACCAGCCCCCCGCTTTCCCCATGCAGCCCCGCAGAGTCACCCAGCCGAGCTCAGGGAAATGGAAGAAGGAAGAAGAGACCATTCAAAGGGAGCAGAGAAGAAAAAGCTCTCGGTGAAGCCAGAGCTCGGGCCCTCTTCCCGCTGGCATTCATCGTCAGAGGAGTCTTCGGAGAGGAAGACCGCGTAGTGTCGTAAGGGCTTTACCAGGCTGGGGCAGAGGAAGACAAAAGAGAAGAGAACAGGCAGTTAGGGGCGCCCTCAGAACTTCATGTGCAGGTGAGAAGCAGGCCTCTGGGCTCCATGCCTGGCTCCCTGTGCCAGCCTGGGGTGGCAGCTCCCAGGAGAGGAAGCTTGTTCCAGATAGAAAAGAAACTAAATTTGCCATGTGTCCAGAGCCTTCAACTCATGACCCATCACATAGGACCTAGTAATCCCACTTCCATTTGGTTAACCCTCAAAGTTGGCAAAGAATCACGCCTGAAGATGGTCATCACTGTTGTTTATAATATTAAAACATGGAACAACCTACATTGTCAGCAACAACCAGCTGGCGCAGTAGCTGAATCTTGTCCTTCCACGAAACGCAATGTTTATGAAGACAAATTTAAAGATCAGGATGCAGAACTGCAATCACACCGCATTCGCTGTCATCTGCTTATGGAAAAATTCATAGAAAAAAGACTGGAAAGGCACGTGGCTAAATGTCAATAACGGCCAGTGGAATCACGGGTGATTTCTTTCCCCCCTGCTTCTTTTTATTTTTCTGTGTCTTATACATTTTCTACAATGAGCATATCTACTCCAATAATCAGGAAGAAATAAAAAATAAAAAAGTTAAAGAAAAAAGTGAGCCGTGCGGAAGAGCTCTCGCGAGAAGGCCCTTTTCTGATTAGCGGCTGCTCTCTAGAGTTTCCGTCAGATGCCTCTTCAGAGAGTCTTTTTCATCTGTGATGTGGAAATTAAATATTCATTGTTATAAAAAATGCATCTCCCTTGTCAGCCACCTGTGAGCTCTACCTCTATAAACACCAACACATACACAGCCTGGAGAAACTCCACGCCCGGCTCCCATGAATTATATACTGACCAGGGCCCACCGGAGGCCGTGTGCTCAGCAGGGGCGAGCTGGACTAGCAGACCTGGGTTCAAATCCCGGCCCTTGCGCTGGGGAGTAGGTGTCTCTGTGCGTTCCACCAAGAGGCATTTTGAGCCTGCTCGGTGTGAGCAGACCCAGGGGTGTTCCGCACCCCTGCCCCGTTCTGTGGGCTGGCTTGCTCTGAGGCAAGTGAAGTTTGGGGAGAATATGGGGTCTGGAGGCTGGCATGGGCTACCTCCTCTCCCGTCACCCCCTCAGCCAAAGCCGTCTCCCTTCTCTGCTCTGTATGCTGGAATTCTTTTGAGGTTTTATTTCAGGAGAGGGCAATGTGTCCAAAAAAAGGGCACGAGAACCACAGCTGGAGGGTGAGTCAGAGACAGTGGCTGCACAGGGGGACGGGGCGAGTGGCCTGTGCCTGCGCTTTGCTGCAATCCGCCAGGGCTGGTGCCCATCCCAGCACTTTCACATCAGAACCCTCACTTCCTCCCAGAGGCTGGCCAGGCAGACTTTTGTCCTCGAACTGCAGTGGAGGTTGAGGCTCAGGAGGGGAAGCCAGTAGCCCAGGGTTACACAACAGGAGGCAGTGAGTCGCAGCGCTGGGCTCTTCCCTGCTCCCAGGCTGCCTTGCTGGCTGTCAGGGGCAAGACACAACTCAGCCCTTCCTGGACTAGGGAGGGCTGTGGTCCAGGGGGCATTTTCCTGCCTCAGTGGAGAGGTCAGGAAGACCTGACTTGCAGGAATCTTGGGGCCAGGGCACCTGGCTCCTGCCACTTCCACAGCAAAGAAGACAGAGCAGAAAGGCTACCCTCCATACAGCCACCAGAGTCTCTTTCAATCACAAACCCACACTTGTCACTCTCCTGCTAAAACCTACGAATCTGCCATTCTGAACTGTGATCTCGCTGCAGTTGGTGGTATGGTGAGTAAATAAATCTGTGGAGCAAAGGGTTAGGAATAATATGTTCAGACATATTATTTCAAAGTTGTTTCAAAGTTAGGGGGAGCCCACTCTCGCTCTGTAGCACTGACTGCTCTCCTGAGCAGGCGAGGGGCGGGTGGGCAGGCCGTGGGCTTCCGCCGCACTCTGGGGAGCTCGTGGGATGCACTGCTGAGCAGCCGTGCCAGGCCTGGGCTCCAAGCAGGGCAGTCTCCGCGCTGTGTGTTAGCTCTGCCTACCTCTGCGGCCCTCTCCTGGCCTCCCCTGCACTTCGGCCATGCTTACCATCTCTGACCACACCGGCCCGGGATATCCCCCGTCCCTGTCAACCTTTGCTTGGAGCACTGACTGCTCTTTGGTCTTGAAGACTCAGCTTAATGCGACTGCTATGAAGCCCACTGGAGTCTAGGAGAGCTCTTCGGCTCTGTGTCTTAGCACTTCTTAGACACCATTTAGCCTCTTGCCACTGTTTCTGAGTCGAGCTCCTCAAGGGCAGGGCCTGGCTTGTTCTCTTTCTCCCCACCTGGGGTACAGCATGAATGCCGTGGAAGTTTGTGAATGAATGAAAGCCAGCCTTCTGGGGGAACCCCCACTTTACCATCTTCCTGGAGCTGCACCATACTGTCCCCTTTCCCTAGACTGTTCTGAGATGCTAAGACATGAAGAATGGGACGATGTTTGAAGGTGAAGGTGCCAGGGAGGTAGGGGCAGGCAGAAAGTGTTTCAAACGATATCAACAAGCAGGCACTGTGCTTCATAGAGGCCATTTCTACCCCTCACAAGAGCCTAACAAGACGGTGTCACCATACTGATTTTCTAGAGGATGAGGCCTTCATGAGTGTACCCATCCATCTGTCCATCTGTGTACCCAAGCAACAGGTGCACTCAGCCTGCTTCCTGTGAGCAGACCCAGGCTAGCTGTGCACTGGGGAATCACTGGTGAAGAGGTGACCATGTGGCCAAGAAGTGGAGTACGGGGACTGCAGCCCGGACAGTCCACTCCCAGGGTCCTCACTCTCCCGTGAGCGGGGCTCGGGTGAGACGCACACGAGGGGACACCAGCCCCTGCTCGGGCCAAATGGAGGGAGGCTCTCCACTTGCCCTCGTGTCCACCTTGGTTGCCTTTCTGACATCCATCTAAGCACAGGCCCCCACCTCTGGCTCTGACAAGAGGGCACAGATCACAGCTTGACATGTTGGCGCAACGCCACTCAACCTGCGAGGAATTTCCGGCTTCACCTAGGAGCGAGGAGCCTCCGTGCTGGGCCGCGCCCTGGCTTCGGTAGATCGGGCTGCCACTGTTCAGGCCAGTGTCACAATCCAGTGCCGCCCACGCTGCTGTGATGGTGGAGGGGGCCGGGGGCTCCCACAATGGCGTGACTGTGGCAGGCGGGGGAAGAGAAGGAACCGCAGTTTCCAGTTCACAGGCCACCTTCCTTCTCCAGTTGGATGTACTGACCGGGCCAGGCTGGTTGGGCAATGGTTTTCACAGGAGACCCAGCTGCCTCCAAATATACCACCCAACTCTTGAGTGGCAGGGCACACCCAGGTGAGAAATGTGTCATCTGATGTGCTCAGATCAGAGCTTGGTAAAGTCCAGGCCACATGGATGGCGATAACACCAGCAATACTTACAAGCCTTGGGCAAAATGCTGTCCATATAATTTCTCATGAATTCTTTATTGCAACCCCATTTTGCAGAAAAAGTAGCCAAGGCTCAGAGAGGGGGAGTCACTTGCCCGGGGTCACACAGCAGCTAAAGGTAGAGCTGGGAACTGAATGTGGATTCGCCGACTTTCAACCACTACGGGATCTCACCTCTTCAGTTTCCTGGGTTGGAAACAACGAAATAAGAGATAGGGTGTTTCCTCTTCTACTTTTAATGGAAGGTGAGGTTTCAAAATAAACTTACTTAAATTCAGCTGCCCATGTTCTCCCATGAAACATACAGTCATATATTTGTCAGAGATAAAGGATGAACCATCGAAAACGTCCAGGCTTACATTTTTTATTAGCTTAAGGCAGAATATGAAAAAAAAAAAAAAGCACCTTTTCCCTCATTAACCCAATTCAGCTACTCCCCTGCAGTCTGCCACCCACCACTTGCCTGGATTTTATTACACACAAAGAGCTATCTGTGAAAAGGCAGGTTGCGGCAAACTTGGCTGCCCAGCGAGGGCTGCCAGAATCTTGGCGTGGAAGAAAGGCTGGCCGTCCGTCACGGATCAGACCCCATCGTCCCCCACGGCTGCTCCCGCCTCTGCCCACCTCGTCTCCGCGCGGAGTTCCCATGCAGATGACTTCCCGAACCCCTTCTAATGTTTGGTTTAACGTGTCGCTGGTTAGCGCGCGCGTGTGACAGTGGTGACAGGCGAGGCTGTTCCTTTTTAAATACCATGTCAGAGACACGGCGTCAGGAAGCGGGGACGTGCTCCATGCTCTCTGCCGCACCGGGATCGCACCGGCTTATTTTTTAATGAGGAAGATCTGCATCTCGGGAGTTTTTTTCATGTGTCACATCGCGTGGACAAATCAGCAGCACGTCACGCTGGCCCAAAATGAAATGCTGACAAATGTAGATATTTCAAATTTAATTGACATTTAAATGTACTTGAGATAAAGACGGGGAAAAATCAGCCAGGACTTGGTCTCCGGAGGTGGTGGAGGGGAGCTGGCGATCATTTTTGAAAGGATCATTTCACTCAGGCACAAAGGATCTTCATTTTGTAAATGTCTTGGCTACGCTGTGTCCCTCTGTCACGTGGCTCCAGTGGGCAGGTGCTGACGAGCAGGGACAGGTCCCAGGGTGAGGCCGGGTCCTGCCTGTCTAGTGAGTGCCAGTCTAACTGTCCACTACCCTCCCCTTCTAGCCAGGCTACCTTGGAAAAGTCACTGCACTTCCCTGAACCTAACTTTCTTGTTGTTTAATTTTCTATTTCCATAGGTTTTTGAGGAACAGGTGGTATTTGGATACATGCGTAATTTCTTTAGCTATGATTTATGAGATTTTGGTGCACCCATCACCTGAGCAGTATACACTGAACCCAATTTGTAATCTTTTATCCCTTACCCCCTTCCTACCCTTTCCCCACCGAGTCCCCAGAGTCCACTGCATCATTTTTATGCCTTTGCATCCTCATAGCTTAGCTTCCACTTATGAGAACATACGATGTTT